AAAATTTTAGTTTTGTGTTATAATTATATGATTTTTATGCGATATTTAAGTTACAGCTGCTCGCAATACATTATTGCTTAAAAATTGTTAAATATGCTCGCTTTACGCTTAATTTTAGATACCGTATGTATATATACATGTCAGCTCATAATACCAAATAACAATAATAAATAAATTAAAAGCATTGAAGAGGTCCAAAACCAATTCAAGCATGACACAAAGTTGAATACATTTTCATCGGAAGCTGCAAGCTTATTAACGTTTGATTCCGTACGTTCATGATCCGTTATTATGCATTCACCTTCAGGCGGTGTCGACGGATCATGCGAAAAGGGTTTTTGACAGGCTGTGCCCTTACCATAATTAAACTGAACCATTGCCTGATACGATGTAAACAAGAGTGTTGGATAGGTGAGCCGCGCAAGCGCTCGCGCATTTGTGTCGCTCTGACAAATAGCACTTGAATAATTTAGCTACCAAGACGTAAATCGCGCGTTACATAAAGTATTATTTTTCCCTTCGGATAAAGTGAACGTTACACCCGCGTGTAACCTGCTTTAATGTTTTGTGTGCATGTGTGGTGGAGTGAGTGTATAATGTAATGATTGAATGAATCTTTTTTCTTTTGTGGTGCATATATGATGTGAGTGACAGGTGTAAAATCTAAAATATATAAATATAAATGGGGGTCTTTTCATAGGAAAGTGTTGAAGTTTAAGTCCTGCCAGTTAATATTGTCAGGTTGGTGTTGAGCCTTCATGATAGAAAGCTTCAATCGGGATTTAATTGAACCTAGTGAACCTATTTTACCACGTGCATTTGACTGCTCAAGAAACCTATTCCATAAATTTGCCCCTTTATATGCGAAATTGTGTGTGTTACAACCCAAGGGTTCTTGAAGTTGAGAAAGAAAGTTTCACGCCGTTAGTTTTCTCAACATCTGGTGGAATGGGTGTTGAAGCTGAAAGAATGGTGAAGAAGCTGGCTAGTAAGATGGAATATCACAAAACAAAATTTTGTTTAACTTACTTTTGTTTTGAAATCCTAAGAACCAGGAGGTGACCGGGACATGATTTTAGGCCTGACCGGGACCGGGACCGGGACCGGGATACAAAATGTGACTTGACCGGGACCGGGACTGAGATTATCAATTTACCGTGACCGGGACCGGGACCAATAATTTCTGGGATTTCTATCTTACCGGGACCGGGACCGGGACCGGGACCAACAATCCAATTTTACCGGGATTTGACCGGGATGACCGTGATTTGACCGGGATGACCGGGATGACCGGGACCAAAACTGGTATTCTCATATTGAAAGCTGCAACTTTCATTTACATTATAATTGAACAATTTGAATAAGTAATAACTAGAATATTAAATTAGAAAAAACTTTTAAAAAACCGTCAATATGGGGCATGGGCCTAATGTACTACACCAATAATGTTCATGTACTGATTACTCAAGTTCACCCTCATTCCTCGTTCCTCAATCAATGATCCCTCAAATTATTCAACAGTTTCATTCTCCAATTCCAATTGACAATTGGGCGTAGCCGAGTTGAAAACTTGATGTTAGTTTGCACTTATGAGTTATGTAACGATATTAGTTACCTAAACTTGTTTAGCAATTTTAAACATTGTTTTATTTGGCTCAGAGGTTGTTTAAAGATGAAATTCACAATGAATGAAAGTAAAAACTTAAAATCACAGTAAATGAAATTATGTAGAAGATCTCGGTCAAAATCCCGGCAAATTTGAGTGATTGACTGGGACCGGGACCAGGACCAAGAATCCTGAATTAACCGGGACCGGGATCATAAATCAGCATTTGACCGGGACCGGGACCGCGACCAGGATGAAAAATGTGACTTGACCCGGTTGACCGGGACCGGGACCGGGACCGGGATAGCTCAAAATTGCCAATCCCGGTACCGGGATTCCCAGTCACCTCCTGCTAAGAACAGCAGTGATTTCTCCCTGGGGAGTCAGAGGTGTAAGAAAGAACTTTGTTAATATAGATAGTCTAGATTTGAATTTGGAGCCACAAGGCCAAGGGTGATTTTCGAATGTTTCTCCCAATATTTGAGATAGGGAATATATTGAGTTTTTGAAGGGTTGTTTTTATATCTAGGGTCATTATGACAATCATGTGTAAATTGTTTGAATAATTTTGATATTTTCAAAAACCAAAGCTAAGGAACTCTTTCTAGATATATATTATATAAATTACTATCAAAGTCCGCCATTATCTTGGGTCATATATTGGATCTGAAGAAGGGGTAAAAGAGTTCATAATAAAGGAGACAAAAACTTGGAAAGCAGACATAGATATAGCTGCAAACGAACCCCAACTACCCTACTCCGCTTTGTTTGCCGTACCACCCCAGGGATTTCAGATTACCTAAAACTCTTGGAACACTGTGTCAAGAAAGACTTTATTCCAGCCATTATGGGCTGCCTGATTATATCAGAGAGATAGCTTCACTTCCTGCAAGGATGGGCGGGCTGAGCATTCCAGACTGCACAATGCAAATCAATAGCTGAGACTCATACTCAGTAAATGCTACGAAACAGCTCACAGAGTATACTACTTTCCAACTAAATTAGGAACTGCAGCGTGCTATATCATAAGTGAAGTAAAGAAGTGTAAGGAAGAGCTTTACAAACATCAACGTGAAACTATTATGAATGGGCTACCCCCATCCACACAAAGGCAAATAGAACTTCTTAGTGAAAAAGCATCCATTTGGTTATCCACACTCCCTCTAAAAGCATGTGGGTATGTCCTCTACAAACTTAGACACAATTCACTCAGAGATACAATAGCTGAACTCCTAACCACTGTTTGCAAAGATATTGAAACTGTATTGACCTGTACTTAAACGGGATTTTTACCGATAGTTGAAATTTGACATCTGGCGCTAGATGACAATAGATGACGCTAAATGACACTAGATGACGCTAGATGACACTAATAGTGCAAACAAAGTTATCCAACGTCTTCTAAGTTGTACTATTTCATATTTGGAATAATGTGCTGCCGCATTCTTTTGGCCCTTTTTATGTCAGACCGTGGTTTTTGAGGTTTTTGAGGTTTTATATCCTTTCATGCCATAGCCATAAGCCATCAAATCAGCAAATACAGCTTGAAATAATAAATTAGCTGTTTCATGTATAGTAATATAATACAAATTGAATTACAACATTAACAATAAGTAGTATGATAGATCATTAAATTCAAGTTAAATCCGCAGACTATATTACAGCTACGCTGTGCAGTGAACATACAGTGATCATTCTAGAAGATTATGGTTGTATAATGTATCATTATGTTTTGATCTGATTTTAAGCCACCAACTTATTAAGGACCAATTAGGGTTGCCATTATCGGTACACAATTTTTTATCGCGATAATCGATAATTTTTTCAAAATTATCGCGATAATATCGGTTATCGGCGATAAATTTGGCAATATAATTGAAGTAATATTTGTATGCACTCTGCATACTTGAATTATGCTCGTATGCTATCTTACATCTTGTGCTGATTGCGTTGTTAAAGAACCAATTGCAATATAGCCCTTTCATTTAACAAGCCCATATTTCATAGACAGAATATTTCTTAAAGACTTTATATAACTTCTAGCAAACATTTTTTTAATCAGCATATTATGCACAACGTATTTCTTTGATAGTGTCAGTTTCCTGCCTGTTAGCTGTGAACAGACCTATCTCCCACGCAAGGGTATCTGTCCTTGCTACCGTAGTCAAATCGCTGCCCAAATGTAGGTCTGATAATTCTTTTATCAGCGGGATAGGATTGGAATCTGGCATCTGAAATTGTGGGAATCACCTGTGAGTCCTGAGGACCAATCGTCGAACTACTTGCGAAGCTCAATCGCTGTTTGTCTCTTTCTGCTTAAACAACCGCTGGTGCAGAGACTTAGAGTTACGTATCAAGTTGACTTTGTGATCATTCTGTATTCTTGTCCTACATCTTCATCTAGATTACTGGGGTCCGAGTAGAACTTTACCATATCTCTCCAACATACTGCACAGCGAGCTCCAACAGGTTTTGTAGTCTCGTTGTAGTCTGAGTTCCTTTTCGTGCTTCCACAAACAAAAATAACTACGTCTGACCATACAACCTCCAAGTTACCTACTAGATGCGATAACGCAACATTTCAATTTTCACTGCCACAAATTCATACACACTACACACTACACAGCACGTCAGCCGACCATCACACTGCAAATTATGCTAGCACTGGGTTTTAATTTTACAAACAGAGAAATAGATTCGAAAAATATGTTAAATGTTGGCCATTTTACCCTAATAAAAATTTGTTGATTATCGCGATAATTCTCGAAAATTATCGCGATAATCGATAACGATTTTTGGGAAATTATCGCCGATAATTATCGGCCGATAATATCGGTTGGCAACCCTAGGACCAATACACCATATCTGTCGAGCCCAAATGGTTTCACCAAAACTTTAGTGACAATCCCGTTCACCATTTTCACACAAAATAATATTTTGAGGATTCCTACTAGCTCACTCATGCAAATCTTATATATAAATATCATGTACCAGGCTTGTACCAGGCTTGTCCCAGGCTTGTCCCAGACTGACGTGACATGTCTGGTGCATTAAATTTGGTTCGATTAAATGGAATAATTCTTTGTGCCCTATAAAATGTGCTCAGCCAACTTAACTGGAAAGTTGACCTCAAGGATACAAAAAATAGTGTTCTTATATACTTAGTGTATATTTGATGTATGGGTCCTTATATATATTTGTAATACTATGGTCTAATTAGTTTTAATTACACTTATCAAGTTTTATCAACACAAGTTTTATCAACATGAACACTAACAGTTGTTGACTGACTTGAATGTCCTGCACAGCAGTTTGGAGCTTCTTTAAATTATTTGTATTCTTATTGTATTGCTGTGTAAATTTAATTCTAATTCTAATTCTAATTACACTTATCAACAAGTCATTAGACAATGGGTATTGAAGATCTTGGGCTCCTGCTGGAGAACATCGAGGAGTATGTTATGGAACAGAAGAAAGTTGTGAGTAACATTTTATTTAAGGTTGGCATCATCCGTTTGGCCTTTTGTCCTGTTCACAATAAATTCTATTGAGAACAAGGACTAAATGGACCCATGCCTGCGCCTCTTACATATTTACATTCTTGTCTGTAATTTTGTGGGCTGGTATTTAATAAGATTTAACGATTGCATCAGATTAGGCCCTGGTTACAATTTTATTTCTATCGAAACCGTTAAGTTACAAAGACCTAAACTATAAAGTTCAACAACAGAGTGGAAAATATTCGCAATGACTAGACATTTATTAATGTATATGACACCATGCCATCAACTTTAACACGAGTTTCCGCAAAAACCGTAAAAGATATAAAACTGAAACTTTTTGACTGGGTCAAATGTCTTAATGGCCTTCAAATCAGCAAGAAAAAATAAAATATTGGTTAAGAAATAAAAATTTTAGTGCCCAAAATTTGGACTCCCAAGTCTGGTGTCAAAAACGCGAATTAAATAGGTAATAATTTATTTAGTCTCTTGAGTCTTGACACCACTCAAGGGTTAGACGGGTTCCTGCTAGAATGTATAATAGCTCAGCAGGCAACTCCAGTTCTTTAATATTTCATTTCAAGTTTAATATTATTATTTTATTATAATAAGTTTTTTTCAGGTGACCTACAAGTGGCTGAGCAGAACATTTTCTCTAAATGTTAACCAAGCTAAACAGTAATTAATATTTAAATTTTTGAAGTTTTTTACACAGACAAACTGTAACAAATTCGCTTGCATTTTGGATGAAAGTGTAATAAAATATTAATATTTCATTCTCTTGCCTCCTTTGAAACGTACGTTCCCAGGTTGTTAGCGATATTCCACATGAAACACAAGAATATGAAACACAAGAGCATTCAGGGTGTGTACTACGTCAGTGGGATGAGACACAATTCTCAGGGAGTTCTGGTAAGTGGTTCAAGATTTCTACCGGACCTAAAGTACATTTCCATCAAAGTTTTGTCCGGATATACAGCTTCCAGTACCTTGATGGCGACTTCACTGATCAGTCACTGGTCAAAAATTCAGTCAGAACTGTGAAATTTCGGTCAAGAAAACGGCAGAATAGTTTTTATTCAGAAATCTTTCAAATTGTTTCGTTCTCTTCTGACGATTTTCCGTTTGTCAAACCTTTCTTTTGTATCCAATTTTAAGTACCTAAATCTTGTCTTGTGTTATCCACAGTGAAGTCATCAATTGGTCATTCAAGAAAATTTCAGTCAAAACAGTGAAATTTGGGTATCACCTTCAGGTGTTTAATCTGCATTTTTCACATTATAACGAAAGATTGTAATAAATTGTCTAATTCACTAAAGCCATTATTACATCCCAGACACACCAAGTATGTATTGTTAACGAAGATATGCTGGAAGAAACAAAATCTCAGTTGGACCCAGTTACCAGTGTTCATCTATACAGTGTTCAGAAAGGGAAACCTAAGGTAAACAAGAATTGCGCCCGTTTTTTCGTTGAGGCGGACGCTAGATTTCCATTCAGTACGAGCTCAGTTAACTTCATAATATTAAATGCGGGAAAGTGAAAATACATGTGATTCAATTCAATTGCTGTAAAAATTGCCGTAGAACGTAACTTTTATCAATAATTTAAGAAATTGGAACCAAAAAGTGAACTATACATGTCTTTTACACATCAGTGCACGCACAAATTGGGCTTATTGTATAATACATTAAAAAACACACGTGCTGCACTTGCACTGACTTCAGATTATACATTAAGTACACAACGAGCTGCAAGAAACCCTCCAGAATCCATCTTTTTCTGCAAAAACGATCATTCGTAACCTTTCACTTTGTTCATTATTCAGTTTTTAATTTTCCTTATTTTTCCACAGTTCAATCAGTGTGTACTGTTTACGCTGGTCATCATGTTTTGGCAATAGGACAGGTTTTAGAAAAAACTGTAGTTTACGAAATTAATAGGTAGCTTTAAATCCAATTCATGTAAAAGACCTCCAAGATAAATGTCTCCAAAATATATCAAAATTTCCACGAATTGTTGTATTTTACTCTAGAAAATACCAACATTGATTGTTTCTACAAGTTTACAATCCATTTGAATATTTCCAAAATTAAACTTTTATTGCGAATCGTGAAAATCACGCATAGACTGTCCTACTGATGGATTGCAGTAAAGTCGAAGTGAGAACTTTACCACCATTCCTATAACTAGAGTCTAACACAATTTCATGGCACATTCTAAATGAATCTTGAGCGCAAACACCAAACGAATTTTCTATGAAAAGATACAATCGAATATTGCGCGCTTTTACAATTTGCCGCCGCTCGGAATTGGGCGCGGCCTTCATTGCATCCCGTTTCACGTCCATCCATCGCATAACTATTACTCTAGTAGCAGGGAGGGGTTGAGTGTGCACTTCGATGTACAGAGTTTTTTGATACTGAATCGGGTTAAATATGTCATTGGTAACTCAAATCACCGAGGGGCACATTTTGTGTCGCTAGTCCCAACCCTGTGGGGGCCACGCCCATATTTCACATTAGGCGCATGTATGGGAAATATGTATCTCAACTTCTGAAGGTCTTAGAGACTCAAACTTTGGCTTAAAATGACCGCAATGCACATATTTATATTGACACTATGAAGGGTATAAAGGCCCAAAATGCTTACTTTTGGAAAAAATCCAGAAAAACCGATTTTCACTGGGGCGAGAGTGAAAAAATCTACTCTAGAAGCTTATTGACATCGAGTATGCAGTTTGGTGTCTACAACTTTTCTAGAAACCAGGTCTTTTGTAAGGTCATTCTGGATCAGAATTGATAAGGTACGCAATTTCTATCAGTAATCCTAATCCTAGGGGGAAATTTCTAAATTACCCTCAGGCACAAATATATGACTTTTCTATCTCGGCTTCTGAACGTTGTAGCTTTGTAGGGGCCTCTCTTTTATCTCAAACTAACTGCAAAGGCCACATTTATCTACAAGCTATAAAGCAACATAGGGTTTATAGTGCTTAGTTTTGGAGATATTCATTAAAAACTGTTTTAACTTTCGTGCATCCTAAATTAGTGACACATGTACTTAATTTTGGTATCCCGGGCTAAAAAAGTCTTACAGACACTTCACTTGCAGCACAGCAAAATGTTCAGCATGAACACATTCAGATAATATTTATGGAGCAACACAATTCAGTTTCAGAAGCTCCTTCCAGCTATCTTATCTTATCCACAAATGTATACATCTAACCATCTCTCTGGTTACTTCAAACCACTTCAATCCCCAAATTTATACATGAAAATCTAACTATCTCGTTATATCTACCACAAGTTGGGCTCTCTCCAGTACTGTTTGGCTATTATGGCTAATCACCTCCAATCCAACCTCATGTTGTAGAATCTACTTCTAGTTTTCTTCAATTCTGCTACCTCCATGCCATGCCTATTCTACCCAGCTACCACCATGACCAGCACGTTATAATTCTAGCTCTTTCTAGCAAACTCTGAATGCTACCTCCTCCTCAGTGCTCTATACAGGTACCACCAGAGGGCAGAAACCACCAACTCCAGCTCTTTTCACTTACTTTGGCTACATCTATTTAGCTACTACTGCAAGGCCCCCTGGCCCCTTCAACCTCTGCTCTTTCTAGCAAACTTAACTTAAGCTACCTCTTGCCTTTTATAACACCACCAGCAACAATTTATTCTGGCTCTTTCCGGCTGCCTCAGCTGCATTCAACAATTTCCAGTTCATTGAGGAAAAGGAAACCTGCTATTTCTAGCAACCTCTGAATGCTACTTCCTGCTCTATCTAGCTTCCACCAACACCCAGTGCTAATTGTTGTTACTTGTTAAGCTACCACTAGCATGAGCACCTGCAAATTCTAGCCCTATCCAGCAAACTCAGACTACATTATACTATATCCAGATAGCACTAACACCCTCAAATTCTAGCTGGAGCCTGGAGGTAGCCTGAATTAGGTAAAAACAGATAGAATTTGAGAGTGCTCATTTAACTGAATAAGGATGGATGTAGCCCGAAGTAACTAGAAGAAGCTAAAATTTGTGGGTACCGTTTGCTAGTGTTAGCTGGATAGAGCAGAAAGTAGTCTGAGGTTGCTGGATAGTGCTAGAATTTGCAGGTGCTGGTGATAGCTGTTTGTTTGTTTGTTTGGGGACCAGTTTTTGGTACACCGGCCAATGAGCTGCAGCTGAACAGAGTAGGAGTAAGTCTGAGGTTGCTGGATAGGGCTAGAATTTGCAGTGCTAGTTGTAGCATAACAACAATTATTGGGTGTTGGTGGAAGCTAGATAGAGCAGGAAGTAGCATTCAGAGATTGCTAGAAAGAGCTATAATGGAGGTAGCAGAATTGAAGGAAACTAGAAGTAGATTCTACTACATGAGGTTGGATTGGAGGTGATTAGCCATAATAGCCAAACAGTACTGGAGAGAGCCCAACTTGTGGTAAGACCGGGATCCCGGCTTAATCCCGATCCCTAATCCCGGTCCCGGTCTTAATCCCGGTCCCAGCACTTTTTCCCAGTCCCGGCCAAAAAAGCAGTCTCGGTCGATCCTTGGCTTTAACGAGATGGAAGCAACTAGAGGGATGGTTAGATGTATAAATTTGGGGATTGAAGTGGTTTGAAGTAACCAGAGAGATGGTTACCAAAAACCGGTCCCCAAACAAACAAACAAACAGCTATCACCAGCACCTGCAAATTCTAGCACTATCCAGCAACCTCAGACTACTTTCTGCTCTATCAAGCTAACACTAGCAAACGGTACCCACAAATTTTAGCTTCTTCTAGTTACTTCGGGCTACATCCATCCTTATTCAGTTAAATGAGCACTCTCAAATTCTATCTGTTTTTACCTAATTCAGGCTACCTCCAGGCTCCAGCTAGAATTTGAGGGTGTTAGTGCTATCTGGATATAGTATAATGTAGTCTGAGTTTGCTGGATAGGGCTAGAATTTGCAGGTGCTCATGCTAGTGGTAGCTTAACAAGTAACAACAATTAGCACTGGGTGTTGGTGGAAGCTAGATAGAGCAGGAAGTAGCATTCAGAGGTTGCTAGAAATAGCAGGTTTCCTTTTCCTCAATGAACTGGAAATTGTTGAATGCAGCTGAGGCAGCCAGAAAGAGCCAGAATAAATTGTTGCTGGTGGTGTTATAAAAGGCAAGAGGTAGCTTAAGTTAAGTTTGCTAGAAAGAGCAGAGGTTGAAGGGGCCAGGGGGCCTTGCAGTAGTAGCTAAATAGATGTAGCCAAAGTAAGTGAAAAGAGCTGGAGTTGGTGGTTTCTGCCCTCTGGTGGTACCTGTATAGAGCACTGAGGAGGAGGTAGCATTCAGAGTTTGCTAGAAAGAGCTAGAATTATAACGTGCTGGTCATGGTGGTAGCTGGGTAGAATAGGCATGGCATGGAGGTAGCAGAATTGAAGAAAACTAGAAGTAGATTCTACAACATGAGGTTGGATTGGAGGTGATTAGCCATAATAGCCAAACAGTACTGGAGAGAGCCCAACTTGTGGTAGATATAACGAGATAGTTAGATTTTCATGTATAAATTTGGGGATTGAAGTGGTTTGAAGTAACCAGAGAGATGGTTAGATGTATACATTTGTGGATAAGATAAGATAGCTGGAAGGAGCTTCTGAAACTGAATTGTGTTGCTCCATAAATATTATCTGAATGTGTTCATGCTGAACATTTTGCTGTGCTGCAAGTGAAGTGTCTGTAAGACTTTTTTAGCCCGGGATACCAAAATTAAGTACATGTGTTACTAATTTAGGATGCACGAAAGTTAAAACAGTTTTTAATGAATATCTCCAAAACTAAGCACTATAATAAACCCTATGTTGCTTTATAGCTTGTAGATAAATGTGGCCTTTGCAGTTAGTTTGAGATAAAAGAGAGGCCCCTACAACGTTCAGAAGCCGAGATAGAAAAGTCATATATTTGTGCCTGAGGGTAATTTAGAAATTTCCCCCTAGGATTAGGATTACTGATAGAAATTGCGTACCTTATCAATTCTGATCCAGAATGACCTTACAAAAGACCTGGTTTCTAGAAAAGTTGTAGACACCAAACTGCATACTCGATGTCAATAAGCTTCTAGAGTAGATTTTTTCACTCTCGCCCCAGTGAAAATCGGTTTTTCTGGATTTTTTCCAAAAGTAAGCATTTTGGGCCTTTATACCCTTCATAGTGTCAATATAAATATGTGCATTGCGGTCATTTTAAGCCAAAGTTTGAGTCTCTAAGACCTTCAGAAGTTGAGATACATATTTCCCATACATGCGCCTAATGTGAAATATGGGCGTGGCCCCCACAGGGTTGGGACTAGCGACACAAAATGTGCCCCTCGGTGATTTGAGTTACCAATGACCTAATTAACCCGATTCAGTATCAAAAAACTCTGTACATCGAAGTGCACACTCAACCCCTCCCTGCTACTAGAGTATATTGTTTCTTTTGTTTCTAACTAATTTGCTAATGTTCCAATTAATTTCAGGGTACTGCCCCTATGTACAGCGTTGATTTTGAGCAGCTGAAAAAGAAAGTCTACGAAACGACCGAGTGAGTATTACTAATAGTGTAAATAGTTAATAGGTGTAAAATTAGTAATGCTGTACAGTAACACCTCCATTGCGATCCAATTACCATCTTACTCGTTGTAATTTATATATTGTGGTCTTACCAAGCTGAATGTTATATTATGAGCTAATCATGAACTTTTCTAGTAAAATAGAGAACCATATTTTCTGACTCCGATTAAACAATCAGTTTCCATCTTTGATCACAATCACTGTCACGTGTCACTCACTGTCACTGTCACTTGTCACAACAAATCATCCTCCACCAGTATACAGATCAATAATTATCTTTTAACAGCACTTTATTTATTTATTTTAACACAGGTTTTCTATGGTGCGCTGCAAGGAGGCGAAGATCAGTCAGGTTATAAACAGTGGCTTAAGGCCTGTCACTCCACCTGCCCTGAAGAACAAAGTTAAGATTATGACTGAAAACAAAACGGTAAATTCGCCACCTCTGTTTGCTTATTAAATTATCGTAAAGAATCGAGAGTTAACGGTATCCTAAGATTTAAGTGACATTAGGGGTCGTTCACATATTACTTAATCAGCTGAGGGGGAGTTCCAAATGCTCACTAAATTTCACTCTGACAGTGATAAAATTTAGAAATTGATCGGATATCCGACTATAACCTAAGTAGTTTGAAAGGTGCTGGGCTGGATATCATAACAATGATTTCGGCTCATTGTGATCAGGGTAGCATTAAACGTAAGGAAAAGTGTTTCCAAAAAAGTGTTTCCAGGGAAAAATTCAAAAGGGGGGGGGGGGGGGACGTGATTACGTAATATTGCTTCAGGAGAGGGGGGATTGGGTCTTGAATACGGTTGATTATGTAATATGTGAACGTAATATGTTATTAAAATGGGGGGAATGCAACGTCAATTAATATCAGTATTCCATAAAAACCCTAAACTGACATTGACATTAATTGACATTAATTGACATTAATTGACATTAATTGACATTAATTGACATTAATTGACATTAATTTGTCTCGAAATTTTAGATTATCATTTTTCGATAAATATTCAAGATATTCACGTCTATGTAAGTTAGACCGGTTCAAAAAACAAAATGTCCTTGAATAATTATGAGTATGTTCTTATCTGTTCATCCTTTGGTTCAAAGACCACCAAACAAAATTTCAGCTTCCAACTCTTCCATCTTCGGTCCCCACCGGCCACGCCCATATTTTATTGGTTTCTTATACAGGTAAAATATCTAGAATCGGCTTTTTTAGTATGAAGGAGTAATGTTAGCTGTTTAAGATTCGTTATTCAAATATAAATGTCATCAAGGCATTTCGTTTAATGTGGGTTTTAAGTTCTGATGATGTTGAGAACCACGCCCTTGGATGGCCACGCCCATTTAAGAAAATTAAATTTCGGAAAACCGTATTATTTTAGTTTTATTGTTTAATGATCTGAATTTTTTCACATTTCACATTTCTATATGTGATAGTAGTGAATAAATTGATGATATAAACGTTCTAAAGTGCTAAAAATATGGTAGAACTACATAATCTCTGGTCGAAAAATATCGTGTCAATTAATGTCAGTATTCCAAAATTTTGCAAAACTGACATTGACATTAATTGACATTAATTGACGTTGCATTCCCCCCATTAAAATATTGATTACGTAATATGTAAACGACCCTTAATAGACAAATACTTGTATACCACAGTACATATTCTTTGTTGAATTGAATATACATAACCGTATAAAAACGACAGGAGAAATTTAAAAGTAAATTTGGCAGGTAGAAACGAAGAAACACACCACCATTAACGCAAAGAAAACTTTTGCGAGCAAGAAGCCAGCAGAGGTTAAGAAATCAACAGCCAAGAAACAAGAGGGGCTAGCCAACTTCTTTGGAAAAGGTTTTTATTTTAATCTTTGCAGCGTGGATTACTTGTATTTGTTACAGAGCTAGAGGTGGAATTGATATTTTCATATCACCCGGTCTTCAGTCCGTTTATATATCTACAGCAGAAACGATAGGTATTAAAATAATCTTCTGGACTATGGTTGTTATCTTTTCAACCGATACTATTGATTATTGAAATTTTCCCAGGTAAAGCAGAAGCAAAAAAAGCAGAACCAAGAAAAATAATTCCTAAATCTGCTCCCAAACCTGAACCTAAAACTTCTCCTAAAACTCTCAAATCTGCTCCTAAATCTGAACCTAAATCTGCTCCCAAACCTGAACCTAAAACTTCTCCTAAAACTCTTAAATCTGCTCCTAAATCTGAACCTAAATCTGCTCCCAAACCTGAACATAAACCCGAAAGCAAACCATTATCGAAGAAAAACCCCACAAAAAGTGAACCACCAACACGTACCTCGCCAAGAAAACAATCCTTGATGAATAAGAACAGAGGAGGCAATAAAACGGACTGTACTCGAGAACCGCTGTTTGTGGATATAGTGGAGGATGAGGTGGAGGAGGTCAAGGTTTTACCCAAGGTTAGAGAGAGGAATTCTAAATATTTATTAGGAAATATTTTGATAATTTTTTGGTTTGTGTTTGTCATTTTTCGCTCTGTTGAGTGATAATGGTAAATAGTGCTGTCTCTGACGTTCCATTTTCTCAGCCTAAATCAAATGGTAAAGACAGTCGAGCGGGTACCAAGCGGAAACGTGTAATGAAGTTTAGCGACGATGAAGATGACGAACTTGAAATTAAAACCGAAGGTGAAACTAAGGTCGAGGATGAGGGGATTTGTCTCGATGATGATCAAGGTTTGAGATCGAACTTGTTGGCTTATCTATCGATCAAATATATCATCTATCTGCCTATTGTACCCATCAATTTATCAGCAAGTTAAATAGCTTGGATTTTGGAATGCCAACTTGAAAACTTGAAAACTAAAAAAACTTGAAAAACTTGAAAACTTACTTAAGGTATCGCAGAGCAGGTCCCGAAAAAAGCTACCGAGTCACCGGAGAAAAAGAAACCAAAGGAGTCACCTGACAGTAAGAAACCAAAAGTCAGACGAAAACGAATCAGGAAACAAGTGAACAAAACAAGTGTAAATGATGACGGATTCATGGGTAAGTACTTGTGTATTACACAATGTGTAAGTTCATGTGACGGTAGTCGGTAATTGATTTATTCGAGGGTATAGATATATGCTAACAGAGTCACATGATTCTGATAGTTGTCACAACTGACAAGAAAAACTCAGCATAAAAAATCAAAATATCACTTCTTCAATATTCTTCTTCAACAAATTTTCAGAAACTAACTCACAGCTAACTTTTACACTTTACAGTAACAGAAAAAGTGTGGGAGACGTTTAGTTGCAGTGACAACGAGGATGAAAAGAAGGAGGAGGAAGAAGAGAAGATGGACACAGAAGAATCAACAAAAAAAGAAGTACCAACAACACGGAACAAACAAAGTAGTCTCATGGGATTCTTCAAGAAGGGCTAGAAAATTCCAGAAGAGTAACTTCAGTGAAGATTTAAATGAAAGAAGTGACTTTGGGAGGGAGTTTTCCCATGGATACTAGCCTGATAACAGTTGAGGTTGTCTGACTTCGATGAAAATGAATCTTGAAGGAGCCATTATGCAATTATGAGAATCGTAACCCTTTTTGATAACAGTTAAACTTGTCAATCAGGAATGATTTTAATAAACAACGACAGTCAATTAGCGTTAAAATGGGCTGCTTTGGCGAAGGAATCTTTGATCTTTTGTTTGTTGTATTTCTAAATAAAAAAGGCAGAGTTGAAATTTTGTCAAATATTTACAATCAAATGATTTTCTTTTTAGTTAGTGTGTTCTCTTTTTTAAATTCGTATTGATATTGTTGATACAAATGATTTCGTACCCAGAGTGCGGTAACAAATCTTAGTGTTTCATTAACATACGCATGTAATAAGATCACAAGCTTTCAGGCTTTATTTTTGAAAATCCTTCTCAACTCATATTCCTGGCCTTCGTCTTCTCCCAGCCCTGACCCCGTCCCTCTTCCACCATCTCTTCCCTTAAGGGTTCTTAAATCTCTTTACACTGCCGGGCCCTATCCTAATCCATTCCCTGTTCCCTTGTTCAATGCCCCTCCCCTTAATCCTTGCCCTCCCATAGCTCCCTCCCCGACTCCCTCCCCGGTCCCCCCCCCCCCCTTCACTGCTTGCCCGCTGATTATCTGTCCCTCCCCCTGACTCCCTTGCCCTAGCTCCTTGTCCCTCCCCCTATACTAGCTCATTGCCACTCTCCTGACTCCCTTCCCTCCCCCTGGATCCCGTCCCTTCCCTTAGATCCCTTCACTTCCCCTAGATCCCTGCCACTCCCGGACTCTGTCCCTCTTCCTGTCTCCTGGCTCCCTGCCAACATGCACTGCTTCTCTTAAACGATCGTCTCTCTTTTCCATCCTAATTCACCTTTTTAGCCACACTTAGATCACCGGAAACGCATTCCGATTACTTAGCCCCCTGGGGGGAACATAAATAAAACCGGAAACTGCTTCCAAATCTAATTCTCCAGCACAAATCAGAGAACATGAACACCCGCCCTCCACTAGCTTCAAGTTCAACAGTACTTGTTAGAAATTCCTAACATATCCGAAATACTATTACATGTTATACCCTCTCTAATACAAGCGCTGACCACTGAACTTCCGACCAACTTCACTGTCGCCCGTAACTACTAAAATACTTGCACTCATCCCCGGTTGTTCTTGACTCCGATCAGACTCCCTGGAAGAGGGCCAGTGTGCACGATCCAGCACGCGAGTCAATCCTCCGGTCACGTGCTCAGAACACCTTGACACGTGCCACAATTACAATACCTTCACTCCACGCGTAAGGGGACACCCCACTTTCACTGCCATTCCCTCCTCCCGACTGAGCAGGTAACAAATCGTCATGGTAACGACTACCCTGTGCAAGAGGCGCTAATTAACTACACCAGGTATCGGATGCCCGGTGTCCGAGGCGTCCTATGTTTGGCCGGAACAATTCAATGCTAGCTCTAGCATAGAAAGAAGCCGATTATTCCATATAAGGAGCGTGAGCCGGAGAACTCGAGAGTATTATTCCATATAAGGACTAACTGTTGGATGGCTAGTATATCGCTTCGTGCTGTGTGTACTCCGCGTGTGTTCTCTTTGTGCTGTCTTTGTATGTTGCTCCGTTTTCCTTTACCGAGGATAAAACTCCGAGGGAAGTCCGGAACTGGTCTCCGCAGGGCAGGGTCGTCCCTTGGACTCCCAACCACCCTCTCTCCTTACTTTTTAAAATTACCTTGACGGGCTTGCACTTAACCGTTTCTTTGTCGGCCGTAAAAGGTTCAATTTAATCTAAAAGCTTTGCTCGCTGCACGCTGCATGCAGGGAGGTTTTACAGTGGTTATCCCCAATATGGTGGGGTCCCATTACGGTATTTTTGCTTGTAGTGTGCAATACCACTAAGTAAATTTGATGAGCTCTTAAGTTGTAGAAAGGGCTGGAGGTGATAATCAGGATTAATAATAATGTTTGGAGTAATTCTGTGCGAGTTTGGACGGAGTTTTTAGAGGTTATTCTAGGGTGTTTTTTTGCCATGTTTCATTGGAATGAAGCCAAGATAAAGAAGCATTTAATATGATGATGTGTGAACACTGACGACAAGCTCTGTAAATAGCATGTGAAATATTTGAGAATGCTAGAAATGTTGCGTTCATCATGTTGTTGTTGTTGCATTTAAGGTGTAAGATGTGGATTGTAGAAGGAAAAATTACAGTAAGTATCAGTTTGTTGCTGCATTACTTCATGTAGGTCTCGGAAAACCATTGAACTGTGAAGTGTGAATTGTACATGTGACCAAGGCCAAGGGGAAATGCTCTTTTTAGGTTTAAAAAACTGTTTGAACATATACGGAATTATTAGAAATTGTTGTCAGAAACATTACAACAACAATGAGACTCATAAATAATGTTCTTATCCGGATATTAAATGTACGTAAATACTAAATGTTGTGTTGTTGAGATTCAGTAAATTAATCGGATGTATAGAATAAGATATTGTAGAGATAAGATAAGTTGTACGAGGTGCCTGATAAAAGACGTTAATTCGCTGCAGTGTTTTGTAAAATAATCAGGTACATGGTTACGATCAAATTTATTGTATTTTGTTGCACTTATCATTGCAGATAGATTGGTGATCGACGCAATCTACTGATTCAAACGTCATAATGTATTTGTATTCCTCGACATTTCAGCCGATAAACCCTTCATTTGTATCAATGTTCTGGGTATCTGGAGTTAAAGCCATATGTGGAGGTATTAGGTTTAGTTTCTGTGACGAAAACGACATTTGAAACGTCATGAGGTGTAAAAATTCAAAATTGTGCACCTTCAATTGAACAAATTTGTATGAGTTTTGTTTTTGAGTTATCAAAGGCCAGAAATGGTGAAAAAACAAAAACTCTTTTAACTATAATACCCACTGAAAAGTCTCTGTATGCACATAGTTTCTGTCTGCCAAGTTTATGATGAGAACAAGTTCACCTACATTGTACTGTCTCTAGCTACAATGTACTGTGTAACATCATGTACTATAAAAAGAACACAATTTGAGAATATTACTCTGTTTGTGGCATTATTACACAGTAGTTTATTGTATATAATTGAGAGCGTATTTATTAGTGCTAATATACTGTAGATTAGCTCTGTGAATTATAGTAGATTACAGTGTAACACAGTAGATTACAGTGTAACACAGCAGATTACAGTGTAACACAGTAGATTACAGTGTAGCACAGTAGATTACGGTGTAACACAGTAGATTACAGTGTAACACAGTAGATTACAGTGTAACACTGTAGATTACAGTGTAACACAGTAGATTACAGTGTAACAGTAGATTACAGTGTAACACAGTAGATTACAGTGTAACACAGTAGATTACAGTGTAACACAGTAGATTACAGTGTAACACAGTAGATTACACTGTAACACAGTAGATTACAGTGTAACACAGTAGATTACAGTGTAACACTGTAGATTACAGTGTAACACTGTAGATTACAGTGTAACACAGTAGATTACAGTGTAACACAGTAGATTACAGTGTAACACAGTAGATTACACTGTAACACAGTAGATTACAGTGTAACACAGTAGATTACACTGTAACACAGTAGATTACAGTGTAACACAGTAGATTACACTGTAACACAGTAGATTACAGTGTAACACAGTAGATTACAGTGTAACACAGTAGATTACAGTGTAACAGTAGATTACAGTGTAACACAGTAGATTACAGTGTAACACAGTAGATTACACTGTAACACAGTAGATTACAGTGTAACACAGTAGATTACAGTGTAACAGTAGATTACAGTGTAACACAGTAGATTACAGTGTAACACAGTAGATTACAGTGTAACACAGTAGATTACAGTGTAACACAGTAGATTACACTGTAATACAGTAGATTACAGTGTAACACAGTAGATTACAGTGTAACACAGTAGATTACAGTGTAACAGTAGATTACAGTGTAACACAGTAGATTACAGTGTAACACAGTAGATTACAGTGTAACACAGTAGATTACAGTGTAACACAGTAGATTACAGTGTAACACAGTAGATTACAGTGTAACACAGTAGATTACAGTGTAACACAGTAGATTACAGTGTAACACAACAAATTACAGTGTTACACAGTAGATTGCAGTGTAACACAGTACATTACAGTGTAACACTCACTACATTACAGTGTAACACTCACTACATTACAGTGTAACACTCACTACATTGCTCACTACACTACATTATAACACTACAAGATGTATTACTTCCTAACATAATTATAAGCATGTATCAGGGGCGTGTGTGTTTACACTTCCTTGCTCATACATTCCACACACTGTGTGTAGAATTGTAGTGTAGGATGTAGAATGTAGTGTAGGATTGTAGTGTTCGTTTGATTTATCTTCCTAGACAGACCTACCATTTTGTTGTTTCCTCCCCCGTTACTTTAACTCGCAGAATCCCATTGTCGTTTGAAAGTCGGGTGTGGGTCTGTTTTGGATTTGGAAAATTTTTTGGTTGGTCCATTTTTGTTAGTTGCAATTAGTCTGTGAAATTGTCTGATATTTCCACCACTGGGTGCTGTACCGTTCCTGCAACCCTGCACGAAAGGCCCCTACTAATTCTTTTAATTTGTTCTGAATCTGCGTTTGCCTTGGATTATAAAGTTCGGTTTATGTTATTGGTGCTTTGTAGTTTGTGGACATTGAGCATTATTTCCTGACCCCCTGCAGATTTATTTATAAATTGTAATTTATCAGTTAAGTCTCGAACAGTAAAACCATGATAGCTGGACAACAATTGTCAAATAACCCAGTTTGATAAAGTTATAAGTAATTACTAATTACATAATTGATAACAATTACCTAATTACATGATTAATAACTAATTCCTAAGGGTCCCATGATTTGAAAGCGCCAATAAGAAAAACTGCTGTTTGTGTTATGCTGTTTTAATTACACACTGGAACACTGACTGAAATTCGTAAGACGGGAAATGTGAAAAGTCGGTTTTGGTTGGGTGATAAGGTAGGTCATTTATCATGTTTAAACAAGTTAAATTTAACTTTATGCAATGTGAATAAGTTTTATAATTACACGATAAATCAATGAAAGTTATAAGTTGAATAAGATGATAACCTCGCCACTTGACAAGAAAGTGAGTTATGAGCAAACATTTTAAAATAAAACGCACCTTTTCAGGTAAAATAAAAAGGATCCCACGTCCCCCGAAAAAAGGTCCCCCTAACTATTGGTAATGACTAAGGTAGCTGAACCCCCAAAGTCATCTTCTTCTCCCAAATTCAAGGTTGGTAGACTCTAATTGGTCGAATCTGAAGTCATTTAAATTTGGTAGACTCTTGATTGAACCTCCCCTCCCATATTACAATACCTAAAACTAACTCACTCCCTCCCATATTACAATACCTAAAACTAACCCCCCCCCCCTCAGAAATAGAGTATTCAATATTATAACTTATATTAATAATTTTATACTTTTATACAACATAAGATTCCAAGTTCCCACACATTGTGTGTAAAAGGGACAAACCGGACGAGAATTGCGATCCAGCTTGACAAGTTGTTCATTTTCCAAGGCCAAGTTGTTTTTAAATTTAAATATCGCTCGTATTAAAAGTCGATGCATTATTTTTGGGATTAAAAAATTGTTCTGTGTATATATATGTTTTCTCCCAGATCACAATGCCCAAAGCTAACCCCCTGCACCTGTGTCATCTGTGTGGGTCCCACTTTGCTCATCTCTTCGCCTACAATCGTCACTTGCTCCGACAGCACTGGTTCGAGGCTCAGAAAGATTTCAGCGAGGAGCAACTCAAGAACAAGGTAATCCAGTTTGTGGAATCTTCAGATAACAGAAATAAGGACAGCCTGATAAAATGAAGTTGGAATAAAGAAATTGGTGTTTTGATATTTAGCTTGTTGGTCGTTGGACCATATATGGAATAATTTCTTCAAAACTTTACACGTGCAGTATGTCCAAATCGCGCGCGAATCTCTTCCGAGTAACAACGATCCTTGTTCACAGTTATTGGTTTGTCTGTGCGCAACATTTTGTTATTGTCATCGAGCACCACGCCCAAGCGTTAAATTGATCGCCGTTTGACTGTTATCCAGTTCAGACATGTCTGAATTGGCTAGTGATTTCGTTGCACTATTTCTTATGTATTCCAAATGTTTTCTCAGCTTGACATTTAAATACAATATTACCCGCTAGAAGTATTGTCTACAGACTTTACTTCGTAACTTGGTGATTATAATTATTGACTCGTAGTCCACTGTCTTCTTTCTTTTAAAGTCTCTGACCCCACAATCCTCTTCCAGATGGACGGCCTAACAGAGAAGCAGTCCCAAAAACTTCGAGAACTTTACCAGAAACTAAAAGAGCGGAACTCGCCCACACCTCCCAAAAGATCTCGACGATCTAAGCCAGTTGCAGAGTCGGAACCTTATAGTCGGAGCCCGCGGGTATCAAATCTAAAAGAGTACAAACTAGTAACAGTAGACGACATGAGTGAGGCTTACAAGTGAGTTAAATAATATAACATAATTAAATTGTAGATTGTGAAATATGTATAACGTACTTATATGTAACGTGATTATGTAGGTAACGTACTTATCACTTATGTAACGCACTTATTTTTAAGTTGCATTAACCTGTGATATCGTCACGGAAATTAATTGAGCTACTATACATCTTCCAGCGTCAATGAGTAACTCTCGGCCACCTACATTCACAACCTCACTTTTAACAGGTCAATTTTAACCAATTAATTAATTGCCAAATAATTAACAACCCCCCATCTCAGAGACAAATACCATAACCCTGGGGGTTACACCATCTTTCACTTCAAAGTGCCCAAGAAGAACGGACCGGTAGTTTCACCTCCGCTTACTGCTCTGAAAAAGACGTACCAGTCCAGTGACAATAAGATGTCACAGAAAACTGAGAAGGTTAGTTTTCGAGTTTCGCACAACACAATCATGCTTATATTTCTAAATTAAGAGTGACTGTCGACCACAATCGTTTAATTCCAAATATTGATAATTTATTTGATTCAAAATGTTAACCCACATCTCTTCCCAGATCCCCATCACCACATCTTTACAACTGTCAACCTGGCAACAAAAATCGTTCGAGAACCATCTCTCCCGGGGTCTCTCCCGCCACTTGACCCACGGCAGCGGCCACATGACTCCCTCGCGTAACGTGATGTCATCACAACCTCACGTGACGTCACCAGTTCTGACGTCACGTGGGTTCCATCACGCGGGGTGCGGAAAATGCAGAAAGAGGAAACACAGTGGGAACTGTGATAGTAAGGACTGTGCGGGAGTCTCTGGTTAGTTTAACTCTATTATTTTTATTATTGCTTTTTTTACTCTATAACTCTATTATTTTGTTAAACTGTTCTCTCTGACTTAATTAAAGGAGCAAAAGTTTTGCTCAACCAAGGAATGAGCTATTTTAATCCCACTCTAGTCGACCAAGGAATGAGCTATTTTAATCCCACTCTAGTCGATGATTTAATTTTACGCTAAAGTACTCAACTACAGTCAATCTCCCGGACGATAACACTCGCCATAAAAATGTAAGTTTGGAAACTTTTCCATTTGTTATAATCTGCGAACCTCTCTTTTTTTTCTTTTAATTTCTTTTTTTCTCAGGTATAACGAGTTACCCACAAACGTTACCTCTCAACTTCTCGTCACCCTTGGTCAGCTCCAACTTTAACTGTACTGATATTCTGAAGAAAATAATCCATTCCCCGGAGACTATATGCAAACCTTCGGTAAGTTTCCCTCCCGTTTTATGCTTTGATAAAAAATCAAGCGAATAATTTCTGACAACTTCACTATTAGGGTGTCCAATTATTCAATTAGCAAGTTAATGATCTAGTCAATAAATTATTCTGAATCTGATTAATAAGTTAATCATGTAACAACATACTGCCAGATATCGGTAACAGTAGAAGACAAGGAGGCTAAGATTGACGTTATGAGTATCGATGTGACTCCCTCAACCTCCCTAACTCCATCCCCCTCTTCGTCCCACTATTCCGATGTCAGGTAACTTGCTCACTGGTCATGTGATTGGCTGCAGGTCACGTGATTAAAGTCATGTTAGAGCGCGCGAGTTTTAATAATTGTGGTAATTTGGGGGAGGGGCTAATTTTTCTAAATGACAACATAGCGACAATTACAATCTGTTGTCGATGAAATTGGCAGCGCACTAACGCGGATCAATTAGTAGTTGCATTTTAATGAAAGAAACGAGTTGATAAAATTACTATTAAAATAAAAGTTTGACATTAACATGCTATGAACTAAGATCGTATTATTTTACTTGGTTCAAGACTAAAATGGTCCCAAACATAACGCCCTTCCGAATCTACAGACAGCAGGTTACTCCTAAGTTATAGTTCACCCTCTTGTAAAAGAGGTTTGTATGATGCTTCATCGGATTTAATAATCTTCCAGCCAATGACCATCCCAAATATGAGCAGACATGGCAGAGTAGCAATGATTATAATACCGATCAGCTCCACATCACCATATCCTGATTGTTCTGCACCCTTGCTATTGTCAGTTATATTCTCCCCATTCTCCCGCTCGATTGTATTTGATTGTGATAATTTTTTAGAATTTTCCAGAATTCTTCCTTTTATCTCCCTAGAGATTCCGTGATATCGCATTTTATGTTCGTCTTTTAATGGTTTGACCTCTGATGTCAGCAATTTCCCGACGTTGCCTTTGGGCCAATATTGACAAACAATGAAAACACCTTCCTCTCCAGTTCCCGGAGCTCGACCGCATCGCAATTCCTTTGTGTCTTTCCAAATAAGTTGAGTAACGTGTCCTATGTTTTTTCTCTTGTTACGTTTGCCCTCGTCTTTAAAACTGTACTGAAGAATTTCGTCGTACCATTTATTGATGCCGCTCAAATAGTCTTCTACTGGATTTAAAACTTCGGCATTCCAAGCTATGTTCTCTCCGAGTAGGGATTGTCCGCCAGAATGTCCTACATTCTTAGGACCACGTGGCAACAGGTATTCGCTCCATTCCTGGGGAAAGAAATTGTGGGTCGAGTCTGACACACCGTAACAAATGTCTGGTGTGTCTTGGTGTAGTCGTCTCAATTCATTGTGATAATCCAGGATTGCCTGCTCGGTGATCGACAGTTTTTCTAGACATTCTGCAGCAATAAAATCGATCAATGCTAAAAACGTTGGGATCAAAATCAACTTCATTTTGATCTTAAATAAAAATAAATTCGTAACAGTATGACTGCGTTTTATGGAACTGCAAAATTTATTATCTCGCCTGCTCCTTCATAAACGCAATTCAAATATATCCATTCAATATGAATCACCGAACAGAGGTATTGGATGCTCTATCTTATTTCAGGAAAATTCTCGCAGTACATGCTAGCACGTGTTACGAAAAGGGGGGGGATCATGAGTATTTTTGAGAGTCTCGACGAAAATGTCCAAATTCTCATTCTAAAAAATTGATTTTGAGTATTTTTTCGTCTTTCATTGTGGTGTCAATTTAGATTAGCTGAAAGTCTCATCTCAATTGGACCACATTGCACTGATATGAATAATGGTTTGGTATATCACTATTTTTGAGTATTCCCGGCGAAAATGGTCAAATTCTCAGACTCAAAAATTCTCAAAATTACTATGAACATTTTCAATTACGAATCTTTATTTCAAACGATGTTAGATCAAAATGAACAAAATGAACTATAACCATTTATACAATCTTTTATTTTCAGTCCATGTTCATCGAAATCAAGAGATCGACAGACTTTGGACACAAATCTGATTATAGATCAGCTCCTGACGGAAGATATGACGGCGGCTCTGGCTCAGATTGGTTTAGAAATGGTTTATTCTCACTTCATTCAGCCGCCTTAGACTACATGCAATAGCAGATGCAATGCTTTAAAGTTATTAACTTATTTTCAAATGTTTCAATTCTGAGTTGGTTTGGCGTTTTATCAAATTTTGAAAGTGTGAAGTCTCTAAACAGCTGCATTCTTGGTAATCGAATATGGATTAGAATTTTATTGCACACCGGACTTCTTATTTAATGATGTCAATCGAAGGTGGTTTTCATCCGATTTTTGATTCTACTATAGCAGCACAAACGGTTGCAGGTAAGATACAAATAATAATTTAATAAACTTGGGTATCTCAATTAAAAGTTGATACTTGGCAATTAATATGATTATTTTAAAAGATTGACCAATTGAAATTGGGCACTTACGGGAATTATCGATGTCAGAGATTAAAGAATTTAATTCAGGCAGTTTCCTTATGCCGTAACTTATTTTAATTTATGTCATATGCTGTCAATTTTCTGATGATTCAGTACTAAAATATCCAAATTTTACACAACTTTGATAAGTACTCTATTGGCTTTGATAAGTGTTCTATTATATTATTATGAATTAAGTAATGCCATTTTGAGGCGAATTCTTGTTACTGCTGCCTTGGTAACTGTTATCACGCCAAATTATAAAACTGTCAATGTAGCCGTGGCAGAAACAGTTACCAAGGCAACTGTTCAATACAATTTGAAAGTTTTAATCTTTGAGGTTTTATCATTCTATAAAATTTTATTTTGTAAAAGTTAGTTCTATAGTGTGTGTGTTTTTCTAATGATAAGCTTATAAGGCACTACGCTGTTTTATAAATGTTGAATCAAAATTATTTTCCCTGCTCCAGAATTGATTTAGATATCATATTTTATCTTCTGTCCCTATTATTCGCATTTAAACTAATTAATTAACTGATTGTTCAAAAATATATACGGATTCTTAAAAGATGAATTTGATTAAAGATGAATATTTTGGTAATTAATGTAATGTATTAGTAGTAAGTAGAATGAAAATATTAATGCTTACACTGCATGATGCGATGATTAGATGATATTTAGGGGGTATATTAGTCTTTGCTAGTAAAGCATTCCTGTTTCCTTTTAAGAGGTCACTATTATTGGAGAACATTGGTGGCCGATTGGTGGCTAAAATAAAACCAAGCAAAAGAAAATGGAAATGTTTGAAAAAGTCTTCAACTATGTTCAGGTCCAATTGACCTTATTTTGAGTGTTTCAAGTTTGATGTTAAAGTTTAGTTTTTCTTACCCTCTTTAAGTTATGAGAATTCTTCTTTGATATCCATTTTATATAATATCCTGTTTTTATTTGTTCCCAAACTTCAGAATTCACCCGCTCAGTCTTTTAATATTACGAAAGCAAATAAATATAATTTAATAAACCTCTTCGGAACAATATATTGATACATCAAACAATCTGAAAAGTTGAAAGTGTTAAATTTAATTTGCTGGCCTTATTAATAAAATGTCTTTGTCCTTACAACTACTGATACTCCTTCCTAAAATGATGAGGACAACAAACGCATATGTGTAAGCTTTGTTAAGTATACGACCACTATCTCAATAAATGATTAAAAGTTGACCTCAACTCTTAGACTATTCGAAGACTGAGTTTTAGTTTAATGTTACATTTTTATCGTGGACTGGTCCGTGGGGGCAGTCACTAGGTGTTTAAGCTTGAAATTGTTGCGAGGGAGCCCCAGTTAAACTTAAATTGCCATTGTGGATTGGTGCCTCAAATCTGCAAAGAATTTTGCGGAAATTGTTGTCAACTGCCGAGCCAAAAAATCCGAGCGTGCTAAATTATCAGTAATAGTATCACTCTACATGACAGTCGATCTTCGAAATTTTTATAAACCTTTAAAAGGGCCCCTGATGCAGTTGAAACCTAGTACCTGGTTCGAAGTATTTTCGAACGCTGATTCCGAATCACGCCAAATGACATAGGGTTAAACTGCTCCCCGATACTTATACTTATAGATAATGATATCGGCAAAAAACTGTATCGATCACGTGCAATATTAGTATTACCATATAACTATAACATGTAACTATAAGCAATTATATTGCAATTATATTGCTATTAGGAAGTTGGTATAATTTCTCGTTCGGGTTAGGGTTTCACTTTCAGCATATGCTTCACTAAAGCATTGCTTCACTTTCAGTTAGGGATTTGGTTAGGGTTTATACTAGTTAGGCTTGGGATCAGAAATTAGAGGGTTACTGTTAGTGTTAGTGTTAGTGTTACTGTTAGGGTTTCGAATATATTTATTCAGATCAGAGCCACCTAGGGCTAGAGGACGTGTTAGAAAAGTCACATGACAGTCGAGTGTAGACAGTAAAGTGATTAATTATCATCATCCCGAAAAATCGTCACAAATTAAAAGGTATAATATTCTCCCGCGGCTTCATATGTACATTAAACATTAAATTTAAAACTAAAAGCCAAGCTAGCATGACGTCATGACCCAATATATATAATTATTAATTTTATCTACGGCTACAACGTAAAACATGTTGTGATTTAACTTTAAGAGCTCAGCTGTACTTGTAGCAGGGACAAAAGGAAATCGCGGCATGTACGGATGACGGAATCGTGATTTTCCCCATTATTTGCGACAAATTTTATGTATAGTTTAAAATACCGCGAAATGTAATTCGCGGTATCGCGATTTTTGGCCAAAATTACCGCGAAATCCTTTTGTCCCTGAGCTGTAGCATAGCATATTGATATAGCATAAAATTAAAATATAAACCGTGCCTGAAGTAATTGCAAATTATAAATTTTAATTATTTACCTGAGAATGTCGTATGACTATGATTATTTTGATTACATTTACACTTACAGGCCGGCTGTCTCACGGCAGGTGCGTTGTACTCGGCCTCGGAACAGCTCTTAAAGTTAAATAAATATAGTTATCTTATTTTATTTGACCAAAACCCATAATTGGGTAAAGCTGAGTGGACCGCTGCCAGTGTTTCTCTTTCCCAAACAAAAGTAATTGATATTAATATGAATTACCGTCTGCAATTAATGCAAAATGATATCGAGAATGAAGTCGGTCGCTTGCTTTTCCCATTCAATTTCCTTCACGGCTTACCGCTTACGAATTGTAATAAGTTTTGGTTTATTACATCAATCAAGCTCTGTGAAAATCTCTTAATTGGGTTCTTTCGGGTCGATACCTACCCAGTACCCGCATAGTGCTCCTTTATCTATTCCAATTGGGTTTCCAGAACCCAATTCCCGATACGGCAATACAGGATAGTAGAGGCTCTTACGGGCATTGTCTGCTCGATACGTTAGGGACCCCAGGTACATTTTACTAGACGTATTTTTGACCGTAGAATCAATTGAAAGTGGTTTCAAGATGATTGGACTGATTGTTCTGGGGTAAAATCGCAAAAAACCGATTTTTGGGCCAAAAATAGGCCAAAAAACCATGTTTTTTGATATTTTGAGCAAGTTAATTTTGTTGGCATGTCGGCAAAACTTGCATAAAGATAGCTAAAAGACAGCCGCACAAGATTGTATAAAAATAAAACAAATCCCTCTATTTGTTCTGAGGTAAAAATCCAAAAAAGTGGTAAAAATTTTGACTTTTTTGCTTGAAGTTTGAATAATTTTTTGCAGTTGTATTAAATCAACCCAAAAATAGTCACATCGTGTTTGCCTAAATTTTTCCTTTCCGAGAAGTACCCACATCATATACTTTATCGAAGTTTGAATATTTTCACTCCGCAAGCGTTTTTGCCAAATTTTCGACGCGCACTACGCGCAAAAGCATTTAGTTGTTATCAATTGGCACCCGCGCGTTCATCATAAATTTCAAACAGCTATAACTCAGCGAGATTATGTCCGTTCTAGCTCATATTTTCACACTAAATAGAAAATAATGTGATCTTATTGCTGACAAAATATGAATATAATTACTCTATTTGCCTTAGAGTAATAGACTGTCAAAGTTTAAAACGCGCATTGGTATAGCACGTGACTAATAAGGCCAAATTTATACTTCTTAACATATTATCGATCCTTAGACATCATACTATTGTGTCCAATTAGCGGTTAGGTCTCTAAACTCGTAGCAGAAAACACGTCTTTTTGCCCGTAAGATCCTCTACTAGGATACTCCTGAACCTTGAAACGTTTTTCAAAATAACAGTGCTGGCGCCCATATGGCGCGTATTTTGCGCAAATTTCTTAAAAACCTCCACATAACTATTTCTATCCCTTTCATCTTTGACATTGAATTAGAATGTTTTGAACTTAAAATGTGCCTGCTGAACTACTTTATTAGGTGAGTCTTAATGCCTGAAAAACAGTACATAACAGCTGGGGTATAATAATTAATAGTATAGTGGGTAAATAGTATAGTGAGTATAATAATGGCGGCGGTCGTGCTTTGCCAACACAGTGATACTGATAGTGATAATGTTATGGTTTTGTCAGATATGGGATACGTCTGGTTATCACTACTATACTACAGGTAATAGTACTGATCTGATCACAATCATGAAAGTAATACTGATACAATAGGGGTCATGCATAAAAACTAAGTATGAAGTATTTGTTGAGTAGTTACTGACAAGTAAATATTTAAGTTCTCAAGGGTCTCTGCAGATTTGGTATTCATAAAACTCGAGTACAAACCTAAGATGAGAAGTACGAATGAGTCGGACTTTTCAATTTACTCGTATCGTACGTACTTTTCAATTCTACTGAAAAGTTCTCCTTCTAGAAATTAATGGAAGAGTTCTAAATCGCAAGTTACCTACGGACTTATATTGAGCGTTTTCAAAACAGCTTTTAAACAAGCTGTTTGAATAAGTAAATTGTCTATTAATTTTTGTTTTACTTTTAAATTTAAATGCCTGCCTGATCTAAGAATTGTGTGTTTAATTTGTTCGCGAACGGCATATTTTCTCTAACATCAGCAAACAATTACAATTTTACATTTTACAACGGCCCTGATGATAATAATTTAAAAACAAAAAAATTCTATCTTAATCGTACGTCGTATGAGTCGGACTTTTCAAAGTTGCGTACAAGTACGTACTTTTCCCCCTAAACGAGTCCGTACTTCTCATCTTAGGTACAAACCACCAAGTAAAAACTCATACTCCGACTAAACTCAACTTTGAGCACGACGCAACTTGAATCTTATTAAATCCTCCTGGTGATCAGTTGTAAAGCATTGTAAAGCATTAAATGATAGTATGACAGTCATTGCAGTTGTTGTATTGGTGTTAACAATAACATTTTGAGATTATTGTAATTAGTATTTGTTGAGTAATAATTTGGACAGAGTACTGTAAAAACATTTTGAAAGTGTTGCCCAATTTAATTTATTTACAAAGAACTACTCAAAGTTAGAAAGTATATAATTTAATGGCAATCTTTTATTTTTAACAAGTCCTAGCTGTGAGTACGTCTGAGAGAGTAGATTAGTCACATGAACTTGCCAAAGATAATTTCAGTCTTACACCTATATTAATATATCAGCTTGAGCTTGAGATAATTGTTTGTTGAGCAGCTTGTGCGAGAGCAAAACTGGAATTGCATCATATATTTGAGTGGTGATGGATTGAGAATTATCAAATTAAGCTTACTTTTTTATTTTTCCTTTCTGTGGCTCTGTCAGCCTATCTGCTATCTAAATCTTTTATCCCGAAAAATTGAAAATGTTCACTAAAATGTTTTCAAACATTCTTTAAAGTAGTTCATTATAAATATACGTTTTACGTAATTATTAAGAACTTTGATCAATATGATATACAGTACTACTTCGATGGCTATTTTTTATATCAGTATCTTCATCTATCATCGACTTGCACTTCTTTTATCATTCGTCCTATCAGGAGCGAAATAACATCTGTTGTAATCATTAGTTTGTTCGGGTGATAGCTGTAACGATGTTTACATGGTAGGTATCGTTCATATGTTTGATATTACGTAAGTAAGCATAGGGGAGGGAGTTTGATCAAAAGCTTGCTAGTTAAGTGTAATTTCTATACAATGTGTATTGTGTAAAGTGACTTACAGTTACAGAGGGAGAAGAGGAGAACATAATGACCAAGAATAACTTCCATAACATTTTAACCATTCCCAGTTGTTATAGTCATTAGTGTTCTTTAGGTTGCTAGCTCTCCTAGAGGCCATGTAAACTTCAAAAAACATCAAGTGCCCACCCATTTCTCAAAGAATTATCAACAGATGTTTATAAAACATAATATAATTAGGGCTACTTTTTTTTAATACGTTACATTTAAAAAATGCTTTTAATATAAATGG